TTCAAGTGGCACACTAGAAGAAAAACCAAGAGCCAATATTGAAACAAAGTGGGCTCTCCTCTCTGCAGTCAGGCTTCCTCCCACCCCATTCACAATGGTAGCCTAAGTGATCTCTCTATTGATAAAACAGAAATGAGTACACTTTAAAAACTCTTCAGTATTTCCTGATGCTGCTGAGACTGAGTCCAAACCCCTTATCATGGCAAGAAAATCCTAATGGTTTGGCCCCTGCTCACCTCCCCAGCTCAGATATCACCCTCCTCCTTTCTTCAGGTCTTACATTCCAGTAAATGAAGTTCTTTGATTCCCTGAATATCCATCCCAAAGCTCTTTCTATTCCCTCTGTTCTCTGAATGTTCTTTCCTCTACAGCTAGTTTTCTTTGTCTAGCTAAATCTATTCTTTGTCCAAGTGTCTCCTTATATGTCATTTCCTCGAAATAAATCTATGTCCCCAAACCAAGTCTGAATTAGTAATCTTCCTATGTGCTGTCAATGCACCCTGAATGCTTGGCAGCAGCCATCCTGTATACACTTATTTGGTTTTGGCTTTTAAACCAATTATTTACTTTTTAAATATTTTTAACAAATGATTTGAATGTCTTTCTTCTCCATTAGACTGAGTTCCATAAGATCACTGAGCACCTATCTTGTCCAGGGATGTGTTCCCAATGTCCAGAAGAGAGGCTAGCACAGAGCAGAAACTCAAGTATCTGTTGACTGTATTCTTCAATAAATGCCCTCGGTGGGGCTTAGGTGTATCCAGAAATAGCAGTATGTCTCGAAGGCAGTACTCAGAAGACCAGAATTATTTTTCAGCTTAATAACTTTAATAAAGAATGACTTTTGGACATTCAAAACAGCAGCCCTCACCTCTAAAGGGAAGGACAGTGTTCCTAGACAATTTACCAGAAAGAATTGGTGAGGGCAGCAGGAAAAGGAAAAAAAATCAAATCATTCTTCCTCAAGTGTTTCGAGTACCTTCCATTACTTCCAGGACACCACTCTCTCCTGGTTTTCCTTGGACCTCACTAACTACTTCTTCTCAGTCTCCCTTGCTGGTTCCTCCCCTCTTCCAGACCTCTAGTCTTTGGATTGTGTCCAGATGTCTTCATTGGTCTGCTTCTCTTCTCTATTAAAAATTATCCCTAAATGATCTCATCTAGTTTCATAGCTGTAAATATCCTCTATAAACTAATAACTCAAATTTATCTCTTACTCAAACTCCAGGCTTGTTTTGCCAATGGCCTACATGACATTTTCAATGAGATGTCTCACACATGGCAAGTCTAAAACCAAAGCCCTAACCTTCCCCCAAACCTGCTCTTCCCTCAATCCCATCAAATTTTAACTTCCTCTTTTCATTTCTCAGGTCAAAAATCTTAAGAATCATCCTTGACTCTTGTCTTTCTCTCACAATACAAATAAAATCTATCAGCAAATCCTCCTGTCTTTTCTTCACCACATGTCTAGACTCCGATCAGTTCTCACTCCTTCCACTGCTGTCACTCTGGTACAAACCACCATCATCTAGCTCCTCGATGGCTGCAACAGCCTCCTAACTAATCTCGCTTTGTATCTCATCTCTATAGGATCTAGACACAATAGTCAAAATGAGCCTTTAAAATATAAATCAGTGCCAGCTCCTGGTGGTTGAGGCAGCTGGATCCCACATTGGTGATCTCAGGGTTCAAGTCCCAGACCTGGCAGCTTGAGAAATACACTGAGCCCATGTCCATGCATGCCCCAAAGGGATTGTAGTGTGCCCATTCCCCATGTGTGTGGGGGGGGTGTCCTCCAAAGGGATTGTAGTGTGCCCATTCCCCATGTGGGGGGGGTGTCCTCCTCTCTCTCTATCTTTCTTGTGAGTACACGTACCCTTTAGCAAAAAATAATAATTTTTAAAGTACACGTACCCTTTAGCAAAAAATAATAATAATTTTTTTAAATCAGATATAGAACAACAATATGACCCAGCAACCCTACTCTTAGGTATATACATACCCAGGAGAATTAAAAACATATGTCCACACAAAAACTTTTATTGAAATGTTCATAGAAGCATTACTCCTAATAGTCAAAAGGTGGAAACAACTTAAATGTCCATCAATGACATTTAAGATAATTGGATTGGGACCAGCAGATGGTGTAATGGTTATGTCACTGGACTCCCATATAGTCGACTGCGGTTGGAGCCCCAGACCCAGTGGCGGCTTAAAATTCATGCCAAGCACATGTGCATGTGTGCCTAAGATCCCGAGAGAAAATGGAGGAAAAAGGATTGCACTGTGGCTGTTCCTCCACAGTAATTTCTCGCTTTCTCTCTCTCTCTCTCTCTCTCTCTCTCTCTCTCTCTCTCTCTCTGTATCTTCAGCAAGCACACACACCCTATAGCAAAAATCTCTCTTAAAAAATGATTCAATAAGTAAAATGTGATATAACCATTATCCATAAAAGAGAATGAAGTTCTGGCACGTGTTGCAACATGAATGAATCCTGAAAACATTATGCTAAGTGAAAGAAGCCAAACACAAACAGCTACGTTTGTATGACTCAATTTATATGAAATGTCCAGAAAAGGCATATCCATAGAGGTACACAGCAGATTAGGAGCGAAGGAAATGGAATGACTGCTGAATGTGTATGCGGGTTCTTTTTGAGATGATAAAATGTTTTGAAATTAGATAGTGGTGATGGTGGTACAACATTCTGAAAGTATTAACAGCCACAGAATTGTATACTGTAAAGTTGTAAAAATGACAATTTTATACTATGTGAATTTTACCTCAATTTATAAAAGGAAGAAAAAATAAGAACATGTCTCTTGGAGCCATCTTTCTCACTCAGAGTAAACAACAGTCTTACAAAGGCAACGAAGTCTTAACATGATCTGCTTCTCATCCTGTCTCTAGCCATGTCCTCCTACCTCACTCACTCAGTTCCAGATCACTTGAAGATACTAAACACGAATTCGCCTTAGAGTCTTTGTACCTGCTGCTTTATCTGCCTACAGACACCCTAAGGGCTGGCTCCTTTATTTGCTTCTTGTCTTTGCTCAGATGTCACCTTATTGTTAAGACTTGCCATGGCTATCCTAAAGAAAACAGTATATGTACATAGATATATTTCTGGCACTCCCTGTACTTTTTGTCTACTTGTTTCTGGTACTCCATGTACTTTTCATCTACTTAATTTTCTCCACAGCACTTGTCAACATCTGACATACTACACATTGACTTTAAGTTAAATTTATTTCTTCCATTAGTGAGAAAAAGAGTTAAGAAGACAGACAGTACTCCCAACAGGGTCCCAATGCTGTGTTCCGCCCTAGCGTCAGCCAGCCCCAGATCATGGGCACACACGCGTGTCCAGCGCACTCAGAAAGGTTTCTGGATAAAAACCCAGAACCTTCCTATGTGGGTCAGACTCACAGAGTGGTGTTTTACTGCTGTGCCAACATCTGGATTCTGACTGTTTATCTTCTGTATCTCCCACCCCAAACCTAAGTTTCACAAAGCAAGAGACCTTTTCGTACCCCAGTATCTAAAACAGTGTCTGGCACATAGCAGGCATTCAGAGATATGTGTCAAGCAGACAGACAAACTAATAAGTGAACAAAGGATGAAGTAACCAAAATCTATAATGTCTTAGCCAGTAGAGAATAAACCTTCTGAGTTGTCACATGACATTTGAGATAGTTCAGTAAAAATGGACAGCAGAGGTTGAAATCTTAGGGCATGCAAGAGGTGAAATACTGGTCAGTCTTTGAACAGTGTATCAGCTTTAAAGTACAAGACACAACAGGAGACTTGATTTCTTTTTACTTAAGAATCATTCTTTTCTCTCCTTTGCTCCAAAGAAAAAGGAACCCCAAGTAGAACCATTCCTCTAGACAGATCATTTAACAATGGCTCATAGAGAGCGTTTTTTGCTTGTATTTTCTTCCTAAAGATTAATACGTACTCATCCAGAGCTGACACAAACAACCCTGGGGCAAAAAAAGCAATTATTTGACATCTGTGCCATAAAAAATAGACAAAGAGATGGGAACCTTGAGCTCTAACTATCTGTATGATCTCAGGTAAATCACTTATCCTGCTTTCTTTTCTGTAAAAATAAGAGGGTTGAATTAGATTATCTCCGAGGCTCCATCATTTTATGGAAAAATTATTTATGGTCACTTAATCTGTTTCCATGTTTAGTATGAATAAAAGTCTTCTGGGTCCAATGAGCCAAGAGGTCACAGACAGCCAGAAGCAGGTTTCAGAAATTGCATTCTGACTGATGATGTCAGATGTGTTAATCAATTTCAGCAAATAAAAGCCATTCTTATCCTTATCCACAAAGGAAAAGAGGGGCCTCATCACCTGGAACAGATGAGTCACCCACCCAAGGCTGTGTGGATAAAATCAGAGGACATACATACACTGAAACCATATCAAAAAGAATGAAGTAGAGCCTTGGTGCTGACACAGAAAGATGTTCACATAACATTTTTCTACAATTTTTTTCTCTTATACCTTGAGTTATAACTGACATAAATAAGCTTCAAACACATGTTGAAGTATGCAACTTGATGCTTTTTGACATAAGTATGCACCCATGAAACCATTACCACAATTAAGTTAATGAACATATCTACCACTCCCAAGTCTGCTTGGGTCCCTCAGTAATTCCTTTCTCTTTGCCTGGCTCTGTCCCCAGGCAAGTACTGATCTGTTTTCTATCACTAAAATTTTGCTGGAATTTTCTTGAATTTTATCTGAACAGAATCAAAGTTTGTACTCTTTTTTGTTTGACTTCTCTACTCAATATGATTATTTTGAGTATGTATCATTACTTCATTCTTATCCATTGCTGGATAATAGTCTCTTGTATAAACAACTCACTTTATCCACTTACCTACTGATGGCTCCCTGGGTTGTTTACAGGTTTTGGCTACTACAAATAAAACTGCTATTGGGGCTGGCATGTGGCAT